GATTACATAAGGTACCATGTGTACTTAGCTTAGGTCTGGCATGCTATACACATTCTTTCCTGTTGTTATTTTGTCTTCTACAGTGTTACTTCTCAAGTGTCTATTCGCCTCGCCTGTATCTCTGTGCCTAAATTCCCTATGGTGTCCAGGGCTGTGGTACCCTGGGGAAAATCTGAGAGCTTAGCTTGTTGCATTAATATTCACCATGAAAAGACTGTTGGCTTTTTCAGAGTTCCTTTCACTTTTTTCAGATATTCACAGAGCATCTTTAGTTTCTGTGCCTGTAAATACTCTTTTGAATTACCTTGCAGCATCAGCTTCCTAGGGGTTGCCATAACAAATTATCACAAACAGGGTGATTTAAAACTACAGACATTGAGCCAGGCATGGTGGCACAGGCTGTAATCCCAGCACTCGGCAGGCTGAGGCAGGCTGGGATACATAGTGAGTTCCAGGCCGGCCTGGACAACATAGTGAGACTCTTCTCAAAACAACAGCCAGAAACTCAGACATTTATTCTCTCACTCTTCTAGAGGCCAGAGTTCAAATCAAGGTACTGATGTACTGTGAACCCCGCACAGGTGTAAGGGGGGCACTGTCTTTGCCTGATCCAGCTGTTGGTGACATCTGGCAATCCTGGGTGCTCCTCTACAGATCGTCACTCACTCTCTGCCGCTGTCTTCTTGGCTTGCTCCTTTTTGTGTCTGTCTATACCCACACTTCCCTGTTCTTAAGTGTAGCCAGCCACTGAACCGGCCCACCTAGTCCATGTGACCCCATTTTAACTTGGTGACTCATACAAAGATTCAGTCTCCAAATAGTCACACTCTTGGGTAGGAGGTTTTGTTTTCTGTGACTCCTACAGTATCTGGGGGGAACACAGTCAGCCCACAACACTTGCTTGCTGATTGACCCTCTACCCTTCTGTAAGTCAGGCTTCTGAACAGATACAGGTAATATCAAGTTATTTTATGAGAGCTTTTCTTTTTTCCTCAGGTTAATAATTTGCTTTCCCTGTGGCTTGAAAAAAATGTCTTGAGGTGTCTTGCTGGAGGTAATACCCAATACTGACTCTTTGGATTTGTTAAATAAGAAAGAATCTTGTATAGGAAGAAAGTGTATCCTAGTGACTAGGGAAAGTCCTTGAAAAGTACACGGAAAAGCAAGAGTTAAAAGGGCTGCACCTCCTGCAGACTGTTTGCAGAAGTTTATGACTTGGGAATGAACTGGCCATTGAGCTTATAGTGACCCAGGAGGCTGTGGCTTGGACTCGCCAGCAGTGTAGGGCCCTGAGGCCATGTAGGGCCCTGATCTCAGCCTTTCAAAGGCAGGAAGGACTACATAACATGGACTTGGCCAACTGCCTGTTCCTTCAGTGTGTCTGCGGGACGCCCCTGCCCATGGCAGAGTCTGAGGTATGTTCAGCTTGTTGGAGAAGGTGTTGGTGCATGTGTTTGTAGTTCCAGGAATAATCACAAAGTACACTGCCTGAAATAAACCTGGGCTGTGTTTCTAAAGTATGTGAACTTTACTTAAAAATTTTTTACAGCCAGATATGGTGGTCCATGCCTATAATCTCAGCACCCTGGCAGGCTGAGCCAAGAGGGTGGCAAGTTCCAGCCCAGCCTGGGCAACATAGCAATGTAGTGAGACCCTGAGTAAAAAATGGACTAGTGGTATAGCTCAGCATCGAAGGCCCTGAGTTTAAATCCCCATACTGTGCCCTCCAAGAAAAAAATGAAAGGAAGAAAAATAGAATATCCATTAGCGTTCAAATTTGTTTTTACAAAGGATTTAACTTTCCTCTGGGTAAGAGCCAACGTTTGGATTTAGTCTTAACCTCAGGGTGTCCCCATCCTTCCCTCTGTATGGTGGCTGGAAGTGAAATGGTCCTTTCATTTCAATTTTGCATATATCTGTTCACCAGTTTCTGTGGTTCAGAGAACATTCGGTAGCACAGTGTGCTTTCTCCTTTTCTATTTTAAGGAGAACTGTATGAACACTGAAAGTCAGGTTATAGTTTTGTTTTGTTTTGTTTTGTTCTGTTCTGTTCCTAGTACCGGGGCTCGAACTCGTGACCTTGTGCTTGCCAGGCAGGCGTGGTGCCACATAGTTTTATTTTTAATGTGTGTGGTTGCACTGAGACTGGGGCGTTAGAGGGATAATCCCGTGCCCCTTCACCTGCTCAGGCACACCTGCCTCCACTAGCCCTCAGCACTTCCTGGAGTATTTCTTTATTGTGCATAAGTATAGAAACAGACTGAATCTTCCAGCCACAAGGAAAAATAAAACTATAAGAACGCACATAGGTTTGTGAGTAGTTAGACTGTTCCTTTGCCCTGGCTTTGTGGTACAGGGCCACAGTTCAAATGGATTTGTTCTTACTGTTTACTTAGGTTGTCTGTGTCCTCTGTTCTGATAATTTATTTCAACCATCCATAATAATATCTTCTTCGTATGTAATTCAGAAAGTAATTGTAACTTTTCATGATTTCTCCTATTTTTCCATAGTGGCAATGTTGGGGAGAAAAATTGTTTCCTTCTAGGTTTAGATCTTAGAGGCCTGTGAATTAAACTGATAAAAGACAGCTAGCAGTGGGAGTTGTAGTTCAGTGGTAGAGCATTTGCCTAATATGTGCGAGGCCCTGGGTTCAATCACAGAGCCACTAAACAAAAAAAGACAGATTAGCAAGTGAAAGATGGGGGGGGAGCTGTGCATATGCTAGGTGTGCAGTAGCTTACAGAAAAATGGAAAGGGCAAGAAACAAGTGAAAATAGAAGAAAAAATGGAAACAAAGCTTTTCTACATAGGGAGGAATGGGGGCTTGAGAGGGGAATGAGATAAAATAAAATTTATTTTTTAAAAATGTGACTCTGGTAGGTGATTAAAGTTTGGGCTTTATTTGTTGTCTTAATAGAGAAGCTGGAGAGGAGAAGGAAGTTAGAGAAGAAGTCAGTGTCTTTTAGGAAAGATAAGCGGCTCTTAGGAGAGCAGATAGGGGAGATAAGATAGTTTTGTGACCGTGTCTACGGAGGTGGAGATTCGGGTCCTCCTCTGGCTGCAGGCAGGAAAACGGAGTTCAGGGCGAGGGGGAAAAAGCCCATTCTCAAATGTCTTCGGCTCAACATAATTCTCATGCTATAGCAGTATAATCCGAGGCAGGTGAGGTGGCCTGAGCCTGTAACCCTGGCACTCTGAGAGGTTGAGGTAAGAGAACTGCAAATTCAAGCCCAACGTGGGCAACTGAGTGACTGGTTCAAAACATAGAAAAATTAAAGACGAAAGAAAAATGGTCTACTCTAGAGCCCTGCTGTGGTGACTTGGATTAAGGCAGCACCGGGGAGTAAGGGTCCATAGAGACCATTACTAGGACCTGCAGGAGACTGCCAGAACCCCGGAACAGGGCTGGCCCGCCTGCTGTGCCTTTGCTGCCACTCACTGGGGGTGCCCCTGGCCAAGCTACCTCACTCTTTAGTTTCAGTCCTAATTTGAAAACCCAGGAGGTTGAAGTAACAGTAGAATGTGTAGAGCCGTTCCCTTCCTCTGGGCTCTTCACCACGTAGATGCCTTTGTCTCTGTGGTGTGTGGGTCGCTCGTGTGTGTGTGTGTGTGTGTGTGTGTGTGTGTGTGTGTGTGTGTGTGGTGAGCTTAGTGGCTGTTGGGACAGGTGTGACTTCTGGAACCATCATTTAGCTTTGCTCAGGCCTGGCCAGTGTGGGGTAGGAAGGGGCTGCCAGGGCTGTGTCACACGCTGTCTGCCCTGCGGGCACACACTGCTTTCTGGCACGAGCATCCTTACCTCCTGCAGTGTCCCAGTTGTCCTCCCTGTGCCGTGGCCAACTGGCTCTTTGTTTTTATTTGAAAGAATGCATGAGGATGGAAGCAGTGCAGGCATTTGGCAGAGCTCTGGCATTGCCTTCCTTTGTGTCAGACTTTGAAGGATCTGCTGCAGACAGCCTCTGCCTATCTCCAGAGTGACAGTTCCCTCCTGCAGATAAGACTCATCTTAGCTCTCCTGGGCTGTGAACAGTTGCAGAACCAATGGGAGAAGTTGAGTAATCTGCCCGAGGTTACAGGGCTGGCTTGTGGCCCACACAGCAGTAACAGAAGCCTCCTTGATTCCAACCTCCTGTGTTGTCCTAGGCCATTGTGTTGCCTCTGAGGAAATGATTTGAAACATTGGATGGGGGTCTGGGGCTTTAGTGATGGAGCCCACGCCTAGCGTGTGCTGTACCCTGGGTGCCCTCCCCAGAAGCTCCCGCACAGCAGAAAGGATCCTGCCTCACTGAGGGTCACGGAACCTGAGTTGTGAGCTGGGTCTGGTCTGAAATCAGGTCCAGAAAGCTTAGCTGGGATTTGTCTAAGCTCACACAACTAGCGTCATCTAGTTCTCTGGCTCATAGTTCTGCAGGCTCCTTGAGCTTGAGTGCCACGAGCTCTGGACTTAATCTTCCAACACCTTGTATCTTGAAGTAACACACATTGAAAGAAGACACCACGGGGCAGCCCTGGATCGTGTTACAGGCTCATGGCAGCCCTGTAGCTCCTCATGCTACCGTGTCTGCCACAGTTGTAAGTTCATTTTGGTAGCTCACCAGTGGTGCTGATTTTCTTCAGGCCTCTTATAGCTCATCATTGATCAGCAAACATTACTACTTAAATTATGGTTTCTGTTCAGCCTGGAATGAAAGATGGATTTTGTTCTTTTTTTTTTTTGGTACCGGGGATCGAACTCGGGTCCTTGCGCTTGCGCAGCAGGTGGCAGAACCACTGAGCTCAGTCCCCGGCCCCGGATTTGGTTCTTTTAATCTATGTGTCAGTTGTGTCCTCATTATCAATTGCACAAATAATTGTTTTAGGAAAAGGAATAAATCAAGAAAGTCTGAAAAGAATTAGAAAAAATAAAAAGAGAATCCAAGGTGGGGCTGGGGGAATGTGACCTTTCTCCATTCCCCCCACCTGGATCTTGAAGCTCACCTAACCTGTTCGGTTTGGAAAGGTTGTGACTGGTGAACCCTGGAGGCCAGGCTCATCCCAGGAAGAGGAGAGGACCGAGGCAGCCAGGATCTCCAGGAGGAAATGGGGCTCTGGGAGGAAGATCGGACCACGACCACTGTCTGACTATGGCCAGCTGGCCACCCGAAGCTTGTCCATTCCTGAAGACTCTGTTGCCGTGCACCTGCAGAGTGAGGACTGTGTGGACGGGCTGCCCGCGGTGAGCATGACCTCAGCCGGCTGCCCTCGCGGAGGCCGGAGAAGACGCCCCATTTCTGTGATTGGAGGAGTCAGCTTGTATGGCAGCACCCAGCCTGAGGACAGGGAGAGCCTCCTAACCCAAGTAAGATCTGTGTGCCTCCACCACAGCCAGCAAGGCCTCTCCAGCTCCCTGGCCTCTGTGCTCCTGCCCAGACTTAACTGGAAGCTGCTTTCCTCTCTCCTCTCTCGCTCCAGGATGACACAGTCTTTTCTTCCTGACTGAAAACATGCACGAACTCAAAACTAACCATCTAACATCTGGACACATTCTTTACTAACCTTTCTTTCCTAGCATCTCAGATTAAACATGAAACTAGTTTGGTCCTTACTTCTGAACAGACTGAAATTTTATCCTGGGAAAAGGAGCGAGACATATTTAGTGAACATCCTGAAAGAAGTGAGTCTTTAAACACTAAATGGTTCCTCGTTAAAATGTGAAGATAGGAAAATAAAGAAGAAGTGGGAGGGCTGGGGATGTAGCTCTGTGGCAGAGTGCTTGCCTTACATATACTCAGCCCTGCATTCAATCTCCAGCACTGAAAATAAACCAGAAAACAGTAAGGGGAAAATGATTCCATATCACCTAAGAGAACCCAGAGCCTCTCACATGGTAGGCATGTGCGCTGCCATTGGGCTGCGTCCATACATCCCCAGCTCCTCCTTACTGCTTTTGTTTTTTGAGTTGCAATCTTTGGTTTGATAATAAACGTTTTCTGTTGGTCCCTCAGTATATTTTAGATATTCATCAAGTGACCACTAAGCACTCTGAAGATGTAAGACACTTAAATAAAGGGCACGATCTGGAGAGGTTCATGCTTATTTGTCAAGGCCAAAACCCCAGCTGTGGTCAGATGTTCACAGATCAGTCTATGAGAAGTGCATATGCCCAGGGTCATGTTTAAAACTTGCTAGTGATGTCTTAAATAACCTGTAAAACTCTTAAAAGAGAAATTTTACATTAGTCTTGGATTGCATGTTGGCAGTCTCCCAGTAAAGCCTAGCACAATGCCTTGTTTGTAAGAAGCACCCAGAAACCCTTATTGAATTCAGTTGCATTAAGTTGAATTCTTAGAGTAAAAACAACTGAAGTTATCAAAAAATCTTTAAGACTCTTTTATTTAAGATGTTCTGCCTGGTAGGAAATGATTCTGAACCAAAGCAAATTATAATTATTTTAAGCTGGAAAACAATATGTGGACTACTTAAAACACTTAGAAAAGATTTCACTTTGGAGCATCAAAAAGAAGTATAGTGAAATAACTTTCTGCCCTGTAATTTAACTTAGGGAGTTGGGTGGGAAAAAGTTGTTAAAACCTGAGGAAGACATGAACCAAGTGGACCCCTGATACATGCTTGTAGGGGTCCTTAATATGGAAAACTGGAAGGACATCATTCAGAATACCAAGGAGACCTGGGCAAGTACAAGGAAAACCAATTTCTTTATTGCCTTGCTAAAATTTTTATGGCACTAGAGATGAAACCCAAGGCCTTGCACATGCTAGACGAGCGTGCCACCACTAAGCTACATCTCTAGCCCCCTAAATCAACTCTTGAACCCAGGGCCTTTCCACTGAGCTACATCCTTACACCTTTTTAATTTTTTATTTTGAGGCAGAATCTTGCTGAGTCACTAAGCTGCCCAAGCTAGGCTTGAATTTGTGATCCTCCTGCCTCAGCCTCTTAGAAGGCTGGGGTTATGGGTGTGTACCACCACACGTGGCCCAGAAACCAATTCTTTAAGATGAGGCTCCGCTGAGCATGGTGTGCTGGTAATTCCAGCTTATTAAGAGGCTGAGGTGGGAGGATTGCAAATTCAAGGTCTGCCTGGTCAATTTTGTGGGACCCTGTCTCACAATAAAACAAAAAGGGCTAGAGATAGAGCTCAGTGCTCCCTGGGTTCAGTCCCCAGTGCTGCAAAACAGTAACACATGTACATACACCCCCCTCACATTGTCCGGCTAGTTTCTTCACATGCAAAAGCCAGTGTGAGGCCTTATGTTGGAGATTCCCTGAGAGGGTCTGCAGATGTGCACTGAGGCTGAGGGAACACTAGTACTGCAGTCTGTCGCCTGCCTGGGGTCTGTGGCCTGCTCTTGTTCCCTGCAGGGGCTGCTCCAGCCAAGGCCTCTTAGCCCTGCACCTGCAGCTGTGTGGGAACCTACCTACCACTGCCTAAGTCTGCCTTTCCTCTGCCCTACGCTCCCCTCTTCTTAGTGCTCCCCACTGCCACACCACCTGTAAATGAGATGAAACATATTGCTGTGGGCCAGAGAGCTGCTAATGGCTGCTGAAGTTTTAGCGAACACATTGATGCTGAGCCCAATGTAGCCTGCAGCTCTTGGCAGGCTTGGGAGAAGCCGTTTCACATCTGTGGGTGGCTTCGAGGTGAGAACGCTGTGTTACTCGCAGGAGCTGTGACTTCCTGGCACCTCCTCACGGCTTTGTGCTTTCCTTCCTCAGCCTGCAGCCAGGCCTCCTGTGCCCTCCCACCAGGTGCCACCCTACAAGGCTGTGTCGGCCCGGCTGCGGCCCTTCACCTTTTCCCAGAGCACCCCCATCGGGCTGGACCGCGTGGGCCGGCGGCGGCAGATGAGAGCATCCAACGGTGAGTCTCCCGGGCTGGCTGCTCTTTCGGAAACTGCTGGGCCCATGGCCTGACTGGTGTGGGGCCTGAGGAGCCCAGGTGATCCATACCTTTCCGGCTCTCTGGGCCTGCGAAGCTCCCCTCAGCAGGAGGGAGTGCCATTCCCTGTGGGATGAGTGCTCTCTGAGCTGCCTGTGACTAAATGTGCCGACTTGTCCCCCTTGTGGTGCCTGTGCGACTGACTTTCTGGAAGGGGTATTCCAGTAAGAAGCTAGGCTCAGGCTGCAAATCTGAGAGCCAATGTAGCAGAGCTGGTTTCTTCTGAGGCTGTGGGGAGGAAGCCTCTCCAGGCCTCTCCTGGCCTCTGGTAGTGTCAGGCCTTCCGTAGATGGCACGTGTGTCCCCTCATCTCTGCCTTCCTGCTCACTTGGTGACTCCCTGGGTCTGTCTCGGTCCAGGTTTCCCCCTTTCATAGGAACACCACCCACTGGATCTGAGCCCACCCTAAGGACCTCATCTTAACTCTGTCACCTATAGAGGCTTTTTCAAAGAAGGTCACATTCATGGGCTTGAGGTTAAGGACCTCATCATCTTTTGGGAGAACAGAATTCAACCAAAAACATGTACTGAAATTGCATCAATGAACAACAAACACACATATGCATGGCCAAGATTTATAAAGAATGGGAAAATGGAAATAGTGTCATTAGAATATCAGGAATGTTACAGCTTTCTCCTCCAACCCTTTTCTCCTTTAACCCTTCCACACATGCAAACAGACTATTTTAGTGGAGACCCTTTTGGAGCTTTCAGTGACACAGACAGCCCGCTGTGGCACCAGTGCCATAGGTTCACCACCACTGGCCTATTCTATGTCTTCTGTAAGACTTTTTGTTTTCACTTTTAAATTAATTTATATATTTATTTTTATGCCACTGGGAATTGAACCCAGGGCCTTTACACTGAACTATGCTCCCAATCCCTTTTTTATTTTGAGGTAAGGTTTTGAAGTTTCCTGGACTGGGCTCAAACTTGTGATCTGCCTTAGCCTCCCAGGGTCCTGGGATCACAGGTGTGCCCACCTGGGAACTGGGTATTTTGTCTGTGTGTTTGTTCAGGATTCTTTTGTTGAAAGTCAACAGAAATGAGCTCTGGCTAGCTTAGCAAAGGGGGCTACATTTCAGGGTGTCAGTGTCCCTGAGAGATGGCTGGACACGGGTGGCCATCAGGGCCGTTCCCAGAGCAGAGGCCACACCGCAGAAGTGCAGTGCAGGACTGGCCATGACACCACCACGGGAGGGTGGGAGGGCCAACTCGCCCTGTGCTGGTCCCCAGATCCAGAGTCCCTAGGCTGTGGACTTGGCTCTCCAAGCTCAGGTGACATGCCCACTGCCTCATGGCAGTGGGAGGAGGACTGGACAGGGTGCCTCCAGGGCCCCTTGCTCCTGTCTTTGCAGCAGGTATTAGGGTTTCCTGTTCATGGAGGCAGGGAAGCCCTGGTGGTGTTTGGAACAGGAGCAGGTCCTGCATTTGATCACACACCCCTTCACTCCTTCACTCCTTCACTCACTCACTGGGGAGTGCTTACCACAGACCAGGTGTAGTGGTGATCGGATCAGAGCTCCTTCAGTCACTCCCACTACAGTGAGAGGAGACTAAATTACCAAGCATGTAACCGGCAGGTAGGGTTGGAAAGGGAAATAAAGCAGGCTAGAGGGCCCTCATTTCCAGATGGGTGTCACTCACACGGTGTCCTTACTCAGAGTGTCATGGCAAACCTCCCTCCTCCCTAGGGACACTCCAGGGGCTCATCAATTGTAGCAGACACCTCCAAAGGTAGGGCCTCCGAGTACAGTTCTTCTTCCGGTTTGTCACAGAGCCTTTTTGAGTGTTTCTACCTGCAGTAGATTTAAGCAACACCAACCACGATCGGCAGTGGGGAGGGAAAGGATGTACTATAGTAAATAACCTAAAATAGTGCTCTGGAGAAGCCCATGTGTCAAACTAGCGGGGCCTTAGGTAGGAGCAGAGGTGACCGTGGAGCGGAGAGTGAAGGCTGAGGAGGAGAGATGCTGGCAACATCAGACGCCGCAGAGCGGGGGAACTTGTGTCTGAGGCCCACATGGAGGTCAGAGGGACTGGAGCCCAGACACCGGGCAGGGGAGAGGACGCTGCAGTGAGGGAGCCAGGCGGTGGCCGGGCAGAAGGGCAGGGAGGCCGTGGGGAGCAGCACTGTTCTGAGTCAGCGGGAGCAGGACAGTTCTGATCTTGTGTCCTAGAGGAAGGGAACCAGACGTGAACGCTGTCGCTCCAGTCTGCATGAGGAAGCGCGGTGGCTTGAGCACGGAGCCACCCATGTTTCCCTTGGGTGTACCTACCCAGGGGTGGGAGAGGCCATGCGGGCAGCTGGGGTCTGTCAGCGTCTCTCCCAGGCACTGGTCGGGAGGAAGACATTTTGTAAGGGTGTTACGAGGCAGCCGAGAACCACTCCTGCATTTGCCCACGGTTTCCGGCTGTGGGCGGGTGGCACCCAGTGACTTAGTCACAGTTTCAGAGCATACGCCCCAGGCTGCTTCTGCAGCTACCTGTCATCAGCCTTCCTGGCGTGGAACAGTCCCTGGGGCAGGTCCGGAGAGGCTTGGCCCCTGAGGAAGCCCATGGGGCCCAAGTGGTGCTCCAGTGATGACACATGACTGTTCCCTTCTGCTGTGAAAAGGGCTCATTGTAACCAGCTTTCCACTGCTTGGTTCCTACAAGAACCGTCACTTTAACTTTGTGGAGGGGAAGTTCCTGTGGTTCAGCCCAGTCTCCGTATCCGCTTCTGTCTCTGTGGTATTTGTTGTTGTTGTAGGGTTTTTTGGTGGTGGCGGTGGATTTTTTTTTTTTTTTCTTTTTTTGGCTTTGTGAGATGGGGTCTTACTTACTGTGTAGTTCAGGCTGGCCTCAAACTCACAATGTAGCCCAGGTGGGCCTGGAACTCAAGACAATCCCCCTGCCTCAGCCTCCCGAGTACTGGGATTACAGGTGTATGCCACCATACCTGGCTATTGTTTTGTTTTGAGACATGGTTTTGCTATGTAATTCCGGCTGGTCTTGAACTCACTATATAGCCCAGGCTGCCCTCAAACCTGAGATCCTCTTGGTTGAGCCTCCTAATTTTCTTGTTTTCCTTTGACTTAATGACTCCTAAGTAAACCATCAAGATGAAGATGGAGATTGACTATCTGCATGTTTATTTGTTTATATATATGTATGTATGTATGGGTTTATACATTTATTTATGTGGAGCTGGAGATGGAACCCAGGACCTTGTACATGCTAAACAAGTGCTCTACCACTGAGCCATAGTCTCGGACGGAGGGGAGACAGAGCTCTCTCACATGGGAAGGAGATCGAGAGATGTGGGGGCAGGTTAGGAGGGAGGAATTAAGATGTGCTAGGTGAGTGGACCAACTCCACATAAATACGTAAACATTATACTGCAAACATGTACTGATAAAAATTTTAAAATAACCTCGTTTGCAATCAGGATTCCCATGGGACATTTATCTTCTCATGCTTTGAGTGTCTTCAGATATGTCCAGTCATACCCCTTCCCAAACCAAAGCTTATCCATGTTATCCTTTCCACGTTATTGCGAGCCAAGCTGAGTCCTCCCTGCAGCCCTCCTCCTTTCTCTCAGAAAGGATTGGGAAGAGCCCAGCCCAGTGCTACACAGTTATAATCCCAGCACCCTGGGAAACAGCCGGGAGGATCAAAAGTGTGAGCCCACCCTGGGCAGTTTAGTGACTTAGCAAGACCTTGTCTCAAAATAAAAAGTAAAAAAACACAAAAAAGGCTGGGGATGTAGCTCAGTTGAAGGCCTTGTGTTCAGTATTAAAGTGTTGCTCACATACTGCCTCTGGGGCTTTCCTCGCCTTGGGGGACAGACACTAGGTAAATGATGGAAAGTGTCCCCTTTGGGAGGCTGGGAAGAAGGCTTGTAATAATCAGATGCCTGACCCAAGGTGAGCTGGCTTCCACTTCAAACTCTCTTGAGTCCAGGAGTTGACCAAGGGCCCTGGGTTTTGCTATCCTGCGACTCCTCAGGTTCTCATCAGTTTTCCTCCTGGAGCCCCAAGATCAATTAGGTAGAAACAGTAGTACTGTGGATCAGATCTTTCTGATAACCATGCTGGCCCTGCTGCCTTGGATGCTAACTGTACCCACTTTTCCTGTGACGGTGCTCCAGCCCCACTGAAGCCTGGAAAGACCAGCAGCAACTTGCCTATAAAAGTTATTGTCGCTTTTGTCTTCTGTTTGGGGGATGGAGCCTGGGCTGGTGAGACTCACAGGATGGACCATGTCCAGCAGGGCCTCCTCCCACTTCAAGGGGGTTTTGGTGCCTATCTTCCAAGTGCTAGAGCAGCACCACAAGTTGAATACCAAGTTGACTCTAGATGCCACCAATGGGTACGTCTGCTTAATCTAAGTTATGTTTAATACAGTTATGTTCAATGTGAACCTTGTTGGATGCCAATATCAACAAACCAGCTGACTATTAAGATCATTTGGAAGGCTGAGGATGTAGCTCCACGATCAGTTGCTTACCTAGCATATATGAGGCCTTGGGTGCAATCCTTACCACTGCAAATCATCATCATCATCATCATCATTATTTGAGACAAGTGGGGAACTTTTCATAGCAATTGAATATTTGGAGACATCAAAGAATTATTAAATTTGTTAGTTGGGATAATGACAGTGTAACTAATTTTAGGTTCTTATTTGTTCAAGATCTACATTGAAATATTCTCTGCATAAAATATGAGATTTATTTCAGAATACTCCAGAAAGGTTGGGGAGAGATAGTGAAAACAAAATTGGTAAAATATATTCAGCATGTTACCTCCTCTGTGTTTGTGTCTGAAATTTTCTATGGTAAAAACTTGAAAAATAATAACAGTACATTTCTTCTTTCCTGATCAAGTACTTTCCAAATCTGCAAATCGAGAAGTACCCAGCCTGAAGACATAGCTTAG